TCTGCTCCTGTCCCTCGCCCTGGGTAAGTGACCCAGGGGGCCCCGGAGACCGGGAGGAAAGTCCGGGCTGCAGTCGCGGGGAGGGCGGTCCCGGCAAGAGGACGCGCTGAGACCGCGGACCACGGGGAGAGCGCGAGGCTGATGACCCGGCGCCTGGTCACCTGGGCTGCACCTGTCGGAGTGCGGTGGAGGGGAGGTGGTGGTGGTGGGGGGGGAGAGCCGCGGCGGTGGCGATCCTGGGGCTGACCGGAGGGCCAGGCGGCCCAGGGGGTGGGGAGTGCCGTCGGGGCGTGGGGCGCTGTGCCCGCGAGTGAGGGTGGGAGTAGGGAAACTCATTGGAGAAGGAGTTCCCGTGGGAGAAAAGGCCGAGAAGGACGCCCTGCAGGGAGGTAGAGAACAGGGAACTCCCTGACTTAAGGTGCTGGGTGGGCAGCGATTTGCATCCTGTGGGAGAGACAGGAAGGGGACAGCCGCTGGCGACTTAAGCTGGCCACGACCTGGGAATGCATTGTGTGTGTGTGTACATATATCTTATACATATTTATATACTTGATACATATATTCATATATTTGATACATATATGCTTATATATTTGAGGCGTATATATATAAATATATGTATATATTTTTAACTGGAACAGTTGGAAGGAGCTGGGGGAGAAAAGGAGACTTACCTCTGAGACCTGAATTTCCTGTTCCTGATGGGAAAGTTGAGGAAAGAGGAATGATATTTCATTGGAGGCACTACCAAGGAAGACCATAAATGCTCTCTTGGAATCTACTGTTTACTATTTTAAGGAGAGATTATGGAAAGGAAAACCTCCTTCACTTCGAAGGTTGGTGGGTGGTGGTTTAGGGACCACTAGGGTGGTCACCTTGTGCGAGGGGAGAGTGGCCAGTGGGACAGCACAGCAGGATGCCTGGAACTCTCAGAGACTGCCTTGGCCTTCTTCCAGGGGCTGTCCTGGACTCCTCCAGAGTCAGTGTGCACAGGCCAGAGCTGGAACTTCAGATGCCTGGAAGCAGGGCTCTCTCACCCTCCAGTGCAGGCAGGCAGCCCGAAGGTGGGAAAATCCCAGCACCTCAAGGCTTACCCTCTACAGCATGGTCATGGGAGTGTGGGGGAGGAAAGGCAAGCCAGCATAGTTTCCAGTCTTAGCTGGTGGGTAGAGACATCTGGACTTGGAGCATTTAAGTGGGAAGAGGAGCTGACGTGTCACCATGCTATCTCTTCTGCCTTTGAGCCTGGGAGGGGAACACCACAAATGAAAAAGAATGGGGGTTTCTCTTATGGAGGAAAAAGAGGTGGAATCTCAATGAAAGCTTTCTTTAGGTGTGTCCTTGGGGTAAGAGAGGTGGCTAAAAGGGTATTGTGAACTTGTTGGAGACGGATAGGGCAAGGACCAAGAAAAGGGACTCGTTTAACAAATCTCACAGAGGAAGAAGTCAGTCATAATTTATTGGCAGAGTGATGTGGAGGATGAAGAGTGGTGGTGCTGAGGCTTAGGCTGAGAGACAGTAGTGATGTTTTTCCTAGCATCGCTTAATATAGCTGGCATTCTCTTCCTCTACCTTGTCTAGACTGTCCAACAGTCAAAATAGTCTCTGAGAATCTGCTAGAGTCAATAAGATACTGAAGTATGTAGAAATAGGGGTGGGAAGAGGACTCAAGAGATTCCTAGGGAATGATTAGGAAAGAACTTAGACTGAATTTGGGAATGCAAGACCAGCAATATGAAATAATTAGAGAAAAACCTATGAAACCAGAGAAAGGAGAACTCAACAGCAAGGAATGGGTAGTGCGGAAATGCTCGCCAGAGGACCTGGGTGGTTGCCTTGAGGCATGGATTGGATTTGCAACAGTAGAGAGGAAAGGAGGCAGATGGACAAGGAAGAAAGCATTTAGTAAAGTGTTGGTGATGAGAATAAGGATACCTTATTGGAAAGACCATGAACTAGAATTTCTGAGAAGCAGATAGATTATGAAAAAGGTATGATATGATGCAAAGAATGACTTAAAGGAATCAATTTGGCAGTGGAGTAAAGTGTGAGAAGAGAAAAGGGGGACTGTGGGTGACAGGACCTGATTGTCTCATAAGTATAATCTAGATATGAGATAATTGGGGCCTCGTTTAGGATAATGTTCCAGAAGAAGTGTCATGGCTGAAATAATTCTCCAAGGTCCAGGGACTTTCTTCCCCCTTTACTATCACACAGTGCTTTGAATTTTTTAAAAAAATTTTTTCCAAAGGGAAAATCAAAATGAAGGAAAACTCTAATCCAGTGCTATTGTATACTCAGGGTAACTGAGTATA